ATATATATATATATATATATATATATATATATATATATATATATATAATTACGCACTTTGTAAAGACATGGAAGACGTTTAAAAAGACTGTATAATAAAATAAAGATTTTATAGTTTTATATATCGAAACTATTCTTAAACTGAAATTATATTAGAAAGTGGAATAGTAATCGATCGATAATCCGATAATACATAGTCATACACATACATGTATGTATGTGAAGAATACAGGGGAGGAACATAATGAGCTAGATTTTCTCATGTTTTATGATAGAGTAATTTTAAAACTAAATTCGAAGATATGTCAGCTATTTTAAAAGTATAGTACAGTAATGTATAGATTGTGGACTTTTATGCATTTATTATTTAAAATATAGAACATGGATATATAAAATGTCCAAAGTACAAAATTTCTTATAATCTTTAATAAATGAAACAAATCTTTACCTAAATCCTTTCATTTATGTTTGTAAAAACATGAAATTTGCATAAACATCCAAAGTTTAGTAATGTCACATTGTACAATTCAAATTAACCGCCATGTATTGTTCCTGACATGGCGTCTTGAACATTGCACTTTCTTTATCGCATAATTATTCCGATGTGAACTTGGAAGATTGACGTGCTAATTCTATGGACAAAGGTGTTTGAAGTACTCTCGAGATGAGACTATTTTTAAATCTCCCTATAACTTCATTTAAACGTCTACCATATTTCAACACCAATCTATCACATTACACTTCATGCTGGAGAAAAATGGCGACCGAGGTCGAAAAAGCCCAAACTGCAGCTCCCACAGGAGATACTATTTTTGGAAAGATACTTCGTAAAGAAATACCTTGCAATTTTATTTACGAGGATGACCAGGTAAATTGAATTAAATGGTTGGAAAAATATTGTTTTGAAACATCTCAAATATACTTTTGTTATGAGGACATAAGGTTAATTACCGGTTATCATGTCCTTATAACAATTATCGTATATTTACATTGTTGAAGTGTCATAATTTATTCCGTAATATGTATCATAGTATTTTACCAAATTAACTCCTAATTATATAAATTTTTAACTTATTATATATTGTTCTTTATAATGTGTTTAATATCTTTTAGTTTTTTTCCTTGAAATAACATTATCAACATTTAAAGCAAAATAACGTAATTTAATCTGTAATATATGTATCAGTCTCAATCTTCTTATTAATTCCAATTCTTTCATAGAAATCTTTTTCCAAAATGATGAGATTAAAACTCTTAGAATCTTGAAAGTATATAATTCTTACGCTAGTATAATTTATCTTGTCGTTAAGATTACTAGTAAAACAAAATTTTAATGTGTTAGTGCGTTGCATTTCATGACATTAACGCCCAAGCACCGGTGCATTTCCTGGTGATTCCACGAAAACCAATACCGCAACTTTCAAAGGCTGAGGATGGAGATGAAGCTTTGTTGGGTCATTTAATGATAGTTGCTCGTAAACTTGCGAAGCAAGAAGGTCTCGATCGTGGTTTTCGTTTAGTCATTAACGACGGCCAGCATGGTGCACAGTCGGTCTATCATTTGCATCTACATGTTCTTGGTGGTCGTCAAATGCAATGGCCTCCTGGTTAAAAGAACTATCTGTTATTTAATGTAAATTGTAACTTACGATTATAAAAAAATCTTTTGCCAATAATAAAACAGAGGAAAATATAGCTTGGGTTTGATTGCTTTAGTTTAATGTTAAATGTAGTTGAAATTTATTCTTTAATGAGTAAACATTGGAGTTTAATATTTTACAAATTGTAAAAACTTATTTCCTTTCGTACACTTCATATACGAATTGTATATCATTTTCTTCTTGAACGCCCTGAGGTATATTCGGATCCCTAAATCGATAAAAAAAATAAATAAATAAATAAAACAATCGCGAGAAAATAGAAACAACAGTTATTTAGGGAAAGTTGAGAAAAATCAATAAGATAATATAAAATTAGCATACTGTGTCAAGATAAAATTATTAGGAATAGGTGGAAAGAAAGTATCACAGTCAAAATGTTTTTTTATTCTTGTCAAATATAATCGGTGAAAATTCGGTGACTCCATTGTAGCCTGAAATTTAAATTTACGTGTAAATTATCTTAAGTGTTAAAGATTCTCAATTATCTGTATAAATATCGCACCTTGTATACAGAACTTCCTCCTATTACCCATATACGTTCAGCTTGATCTTTTAACGGAGGTTTCTTAATAACTTCAAGGGCGTGTAGAATACTTTTACAAACTATCGCATCGTCACCGTAATCCCTACGTATTTAATTATTGTTTTATTCCTTTCATTTAATAACATTCGGTTAAATTAATGTCATTTAATTTCAAATAAATTTCCAAAACTTCAAGTTAATCATTAAAAGTATCTTACAAAGTCTGTGACGTAAGGACTATGTTTATTCGGTTTTGTAACGGTCTGTACTTCTTTGGAATACACTCCCATGTTCTCCGTCCCATTAGAACAACGTTCTTTTTATCTGGATCTTTCGTATTCGTCGTCATAGATGTAAAGAATGCCATTTCACTTCTATAAAATAAGGAATAGAATATTCCTTATAATAGTTATATTATTAATTATTATTTATATTTAACTCACGATGTTGTCTTAATTATTTCTTACTTCAATTTCCATGGTAAAGTCCCTTTTACACCAATACCCATCTCCTCACATGCTGCTGCAATTAAATATAAGTTTAAGTTCATCTTCCGAAAGAAAAAATTAGATTGTGGTAGTTGTTTTGACAAATACTCAATATGTCAATATAAATCACTAGGTTTTTTTTCTGATTTAACAGGCACGTGTTTGTGACTACCAAAAAACCGTTAAGATATTGAAGTACAGCAAGATAAGTAAGAGGACAGCACAATCCTCAGAACAGAGTTTGATTACTATTTGAAAAGTAAGAGAAAAGAAGAGGAATTGTACGTTTTATTTCTAATATATCTTATTTTAGTTGTTCTGAATCTTGAGCAATCAATGGAAATTGAGAGCAGTCAAAAATTTGTAGGAATAAATATTGTCTGCCGTCTAGTATTCTTAATAGCACAATGATTGAAGCTTGTTAGATGGCAGACTAAGTATTATAAAGTATCGTACAGATAAGGTATTCAACGTCTGTATCCAAATTAACATTTCGTGCAAAATGCCCGATTACAGCGAACCTAAACAACGCTAAAATATTCGTTTGATTTTCGAACATAATCGATATTTCTTACGATTTTCTTCGATTTTTAAGCAGGAAGAATGGCGGAAGAAAGCACATCTCATCTGTAAAGAAGAAAGTATTATCCTGTAAGTAAAGTAAAGTATTAATATTATATATTAATTAAAAACCATTCAGAAAAAAGCATTGATACAATATAAATTACACGTGAGTACATTTACATCTTCGTTTATGATTTGAATATAATTCTTGTATCCGCCATAACAAATTGGTAACAAATTGGTAAGAAATTCCCGCTTTGTTCGACAGATGGCAGTGTAACCGTTCGATGTCATGCATTTTGGCGTGAAACGTGATAACCAAAATTTCTTCTAGAAGCATTCACTTCTGATTTCCGCTACGTCAAATTTCGAAAATTACTCGACTTGCTTGACAAATTTCACGATATTAGCAATATCGTAAGGTAAGTGATTCTTACCATTCCATATTTTTGCTCAATATAAGTTATCATTGTTCTAATGTACACATTTGATCGTTTCACGCGTTGATTACATTAGTTTTGGAACAGTTTTAAATCTCGTGTATATTAAATTCGTTCTTTTATTTCATACTTTAAGCATTCCAATTACATTAGTTGATATACTTGCACCATGTGATTTATAAGTTTCGTGATGGTGTCAATTCTGACACGATAAATATTTTATAGGTTATACCGTATGAAAATTTTGTTTTGTTGATTTGATGGCAATGGAAATTCGTTGTTTTATTTGTACATTCCTTTATATTGTAATCATGCTAAATTAAGGAATTTGCAATTTGTTTACTTCGTGGAACGTTATATATAATTAGAAATTACTTTTAGAATGTCTGGTCGCGAAGGTGGTAAAAAGAAGCCTTTGAAGGCTCCAAAGAAGGAATCAAAAGTTCTGGATGAAGAGGACTTGGCGTTCAAGCAGAAGCAAAAGGAACAACAGAAAGCGCTTGCCGAAGCTGCAAAGAAAGCGAGTCAAAGGGGACCTCTTGTCACGGGCGGTATAAAGAAATCTGGCAAAAAGTGATGCAGTTAAGACTGAGAAAAGATGCAATCATTGTGCATACCATGTTCTTATCAAGGCATGATTTTGATATTATCAATTAGTATACCATCTGAGTATGAACACATTTCAGATCTCCGATTCCAAGAAATGGTTAAACATTTGTAAATAAAACTTTTATGGATTAAATCATAGCAATATATGGACTTCATAGGCATTTTATTATTTTTGGTGTAGCGATCAAACACGTTTAAAGCGGTTTAGTAAATTTGATACGTTTGTAATCGACCTACGTAAGTGTTAAACATTAACTAAACGAATAAAATAATAAATTTTTTTTTAAATAACGCGTTTCCCGAAGACAAATGAAATTTACGATTTACAATCGCTGATTAAATATTAAATTTTTATCGTGTGAATTGTAATTGCTTAATCCCAGATTTGATCTAATTTAACTGTCAAATAATACTGCCGTTACATCAATTAACCTTGAGTTTAAATACTTCGTGCAAAAATTTCAAACGTGTTTAAATAATGCAATCACGTGTGTCAAATCGATATATCATTGTGCAACGTGATCGACGAAATACGGAGTCGTAGAAGATATGATAAATGTGATACAAATAATACATCGAACATTATTTTTTTCGGCCATTTATTTCTAAAGTCAGGTGCAAACATATGTCTACTGAAGAAACGTGAATTACAGCTGATTGCCATATGATCGACAGTATCGGCAACCTTCGCGAAAAAAATCACAGTCTCTCCGCTGTTTTCGTTTCGCGTACCATCGCTTTTTGATTGAAATAATCGCGTGGAACAACTCGGGCAAGCGAATTTTTCACATTTTATCTATTTCGGGAAAATTACGCTTCACTCAGATGCTCTTACAAACCTTTAAATATAACGAGAAGATTCAAAATACACATGTCGTTATCTTTTCTCTCGATAATTTTATTTGTACATTATAAATCATATCATCGCGATACAACGAATCCATATTGCAAATCAAGTTTTACGAGGTTACATAGCATTTAGTAGTACGTACGTCTTCAATAAGAATCTGTGACATATGCGAATGTTTAGTCATAAAAGGCTTCTCTTGATTTCAGCTACATAACTCGGATCATCGTCATATGAGCTTTTAATAGTTACTTTGGCGATGGCTCGTTGGTGAGCGTGGTAGATGGCGTAGAACTGTCACTGGCTGGGTCAGTTGGCAACAGACCTCGGAGGTGGTCGTAAGTGCTTGTGTTGGCCGAGTCTCGTCATCCGTCAAATCTCTCTCGTCGAGTTTGCACGCAAAGGAGACAATCGAGAGAGGGGTGCTCTTGTGTACAGTGACAGAAGGGCCAGAGCAGCGAGAGACGAATTCGCGAGTGCGCCGATAGTTCAGGAAAACCATGGAGCTCGTCAGGATCATTTGACCCACGGGAACGACTCCAGGCTCGGTGGATCGTGCTACCTCGCGTGATACTACAAATCGGTGAGTTACGAGCGACCTTACTACTCTCTTCTTTCTAAACTGACGATGACAGTTTATTACTGCCTCTCCGCTGATAGGAAACTCGTTCTCTCTCTCTGTGTCGTTTCACTGTGTGCGTCACGTACAAACGTTTTGACGTGATGCATGTGTTCGAGCCCACAAAGGGACACCATGTTATTCACCTGCATCACGTACCATATTGCGAACCTTGTGCTTTTCTTCCAGCTCTGCCACCCCCAGAGGGTTGCGCTATAACTATCAGCGAGATGATCAAGCGCGATTTCCTGGCCTGACATGTGTAAGTGACGCGCTGGCTCGTATAAACGGCCTATCATAGGTGTGTATAACGCGTGCTAAAATGAAGAGAGAGAGAGAGAGAGAGAGAGAGAGAGAGAGAG